GTGGAGGTAGCAGTGACAGCTCCGCTAACAGTTTTCGATCAACTTCAGAAATACGACTAAATTCATAAGCTCCTTAGTTTGTTACTCAAGCGGTACCCCCAAATAGAATTCTCGGTGTATTTGAAATCGTAAAACTGATAAATTTTGTTTTCGTTCTAAATATACAAATTTGGATAGAATTAACTTGGTTTGCGTAAATCCTATTGATCATACACAGCGCGATTTTTCATCAACAGGAAGAACGATTTGCTATGTCTTACTATAAAATTTGCGGCGGATATTTTATACAGATTAGAAATAAAAAAAGTCTGATTATTGACCCTTATAACACTCAATCCGACTACTAAGGTCGAACACAACACCATTAAATTTATATTTATCCATAAATCCATACATGCCTTACCCGTTTGCCCAGCATGGTATGGGCATGTCTGTCTATATCTGTGTCATTTCGCGCAGCCTTAGTAATACATTTATCATGTTAGTATTAGAACCTGCTACTCGTAGCATTGGAAAATCTACATTTTGAATTAAGCAATTCTAGTCGACTGTAATCATCAAAGTAGTTGTTTCGAAATTATTTCGCTTATTCACTTTGATCTTAGTAAAATAGACCTTGTACGATATTATATTGTTGAGACGTAAAGCAGTCAGAAGAGGTTCACTTTGTGAAATGTAATCATTTATAAAAAATAACTTTTTATATAAAAAAAAGCCGACTTCAGACAACTAAAAAAATAAAATAATTTAACATTCTGAAGACCTTACTAAAACATTTTGAATAAAAGAATTAAAGCCCCGACCTCGGAATGTAAAATTATTTTTTAAGTTGCTTGAAATTGGCTCTTCAAATTAAATCCAATATCTTTATTCATGTAGATTTTAAAGAAAGTACTTAAGAACGTCAACATATCATAATAATAATAATTGTTACTTAGTGTTAACAATATACTCATACAGAGAAAATAGCTACGAACTGTTTCATCGTTTGGCCAATTTATGTAAAAATATAGTGTCTGATCACGCCCTGAGTTGCCCCGAAAAAGTCGATTGGGCTAGGGCCCATAGTAGCCACTTCGATGGGCAACAGAGGACGGGGCCCAAAGGCCTATGGATAAATGTTCTAAATAAGTTACAAAAACGGCTGACAAATAAGCAAGCACACGTCAGGTGATAAGTGATGGTGCATGTAAAGTGTTATGTAGTAGTGTGTACAATGTTGTAACCTGACTTGACCGTTCAAGTCTGACCGCAGATCCACAAGCGCTGCTTCTCTCCAAAGGTGAGATCTCTCAAGGGGGGCGATCAGCAATTGAAAACTTCTGCCTTCATTTCACTATTTCAGTCTATCAACTTTATTGTACATTTAATTAACTTCAAGCTCAAGGATAAGCCTCGTTAATTGTACTCAAAAACGTGACACACGGCACAACTAATTAACGGTCGATCAAAGTTCACAGGTATGTTCACTTAGCAACAAAATTATAATCGAGCGCACGCGGTTTGCTCTCGAGTGACAAAGTTCAGCGTTTAACCGACAATGGAAAATGTCTCCGTACTATATCAAATGCCACACGAGCAAAATTTAATATTGCAAATGCGCTTCAAAATGCAATCAATATACAAATTGACGTAAATTACTTGCAAACAAAGGTAAGTTAATTTAATCACTCAACACTTAGACAGGCCTCGTTATCGCGTAAACGCACTAAAATGATAACTCAAAATAGAAGCGATCTTAAAGTGACCTCACGAGTCTAGCGAAAAAACTGCAATAGTAAATTCCACACGCATCAAAGACCGGACGTTGATCGCAATCAATATTAACTTCCAAAACAATTAACCGACCCGGCGTCCGCGCAGAGAATCTCTTTTTCTAGACTCAACAAAACTCTTAGTCGTTGCATAAACTTGCTAACAAAAACGACACTATATAGAGGTTATACGGTACGTGACCACGCTGTTCTAGTAACTGCACTGCATTCGAGGTGGTCTTAAAGGGACCCAAATCTTCGATAGTAAATTAGGCGCGCAAAATTAATCAAATTCTAGACCATCAGGGAGCGGTATACCGCCGCCCCTCCCGGCAGCGCTCACGTCAACTCACACCATCGGGCGATGCTCCGAGTCACAAGCTATTGGATGCAATTCAAATGCCCATGTTTGGGCCTAAACAGTGTCAGTAAGTTATGTAACATAATTTTAAATAATAAAGCCGACCTGTGCTTTGCTGCGGAGGCAGGGCAGACATGGCAAACGCTCTGTCCTGGTGAAAATGTTCCTAAAGGAACTCCATCCGCGGCTGGTCGTTGGTGCTGGTGATAAGAGGGCTGGTTCTTTTCTAGCTCAAAGACTAAGTATAGCCATTCAGCGGGGACATGCAGCCAGCGTTCTTGGCACGATACCGCGGGGAGTAGGACTATATGATAATTAAGTTTCTAGTTTTAGTTTTTTTATGGGGTATTTGTATAGTTTTCTCATCTGGTTGGGCTGTATAAATATATAATTGTAAATGAAAATGATAAACTTACATAAATATCAATAAAATAAAATAAATAATTAATTAGTTTTTTTATTATTATTATAGTTATTTGACATTGTCATATTGAAAAAATATATAATATCACTACTATTTATGTTAAAAATATAACTTATTAAATTTTACAAATTTGAAAATGAGATTTTATATGTATTAACCTGAAAGATATTTAGACTAAGCATCTTTATCGTTAGTCATGGAGTGTGAAATATGCATTCTTTATGAGCGACTATTTTACCTATTTAAAAAAAAATAATGGTAAGTTTATTTTCTCTGTGTCTTATTGAAGAAGCGTACACATTGCCCTGCAATGGAGTTGCTAATTATCTTCAGTGTTAAGGAGGGAACCACTAATTTATGCTTATTTCTGGTGTTGATTGTATGAATGTCACTTTTTATTGTAAATAATGAAATATTTTTACATACATATATTGCAAAGCTATAGTGAATATGTTAGTCTCTTTAAACAATTCTCTCAAAGACTCCCGTGAGTTTAAATTGTAAATTGCACGCATAGCTCTTTTTTAATTATTATTTTCAATTATTAAACACAGTTACTGTTACTTGCTTTATTATTTTTAAGCTAAACTGCTTGATAGATTATTACAAAATGAGCCGTCATTAGATTCGTCTTAATAATGGGAGTTACACAGGTTATATAATGTTTATATATTGCATCTGCAAATACAAAAGAAGGGGAGGTGACTTTTTGATACTAAAGTTTTTGATGCCGTCGTGTTTTTATTACTGTTATAACCATTATGCTTTGTTGAATTATTTATTATTAATAATTGTATAAGCGAACATAATAGAGTGGGTGTTACGATTTAAGATCAATAAAATAATACTATTTAATTACATCTACTTTATAGAAGTCTTAATCAAGACTGAAATTGAGACTGCGATTTATAGTGTAGTGACCCTTATACTAAATCAATAGACAAAACTGACATTGTCTGTGATATTATAGCGTTGTAGTGTAGCAGCTGATGATAGGTTGTTCGGATTAAAACGAAGTGATTATATAGACTCTTGAGTTACGATCTCTAAAATAAGCAAACGTGTGTCATATCGCACATACTTAACTTTTTTAAAACTATTTTTTGCGTAAAACCTTTCCCATGCACTCGGAATTTTTTTTTTTGTACTATGGAAGTTTTTTACAAAAATACATTTTGTAATAACAAACATCCAGACCCGTATGTTTTGTTTACCATATAAAACACAGCAGCATTTAGCTCCTATTTTATATTCAATTAGAGCGTGGTCCTAAGTCGGTAGAACCGATCCATTCGGGCTACTACCATAACATAGCTGCAGCGTGACTCTACCACCTAAAAAATTGATATACGTAACGTGACTAAAACGTAAATGTTAAAAATAAGTTTTTTTTAATTCAAAACAATTAAACGTGATAGTGCTTATTTTACGCATTATTTCACAATTTTATACGTGATACTATTATTACTATAGCAATTTAAGTAGGCTTTGATTTTTTTACACTATATTAACGATACACTAACTTTTAAATTACGCGGTGGATGGTCGGGTTTACTTGGAGAATTTAAAAATTTTACGGGATACTGGGTAGCGTCATTCCATTACTCAGAAATAGTCTGCACTTTTGCAATGGACACACGTCCATATTTTACCGTTTATTGCTGCGTTCTTGTCGTTACGTGATGTCTAAATAGCTCTTTCGCTCAGCCGCAACTCAAAGAGTTTGCACGGTTAGTTGTTTCCGTTGCTACAATGCATAGCTGAAATGAAGTGCAGTGATTAAACTGTGCAACATAAATTATTTAAAACTTTTTGGAAGCTATGCAAATCTACATAAACATACCTATTGCGCAAAAACAAAATCATTTCATAAAAATTGAACATATAGACAAGGGTCGTGAAAATATAGAAACGTGAAACGTATTAATTGACCTGATAAAAAGTCATAAAGATGATACTAAATCGCTATTTAAACAATATAAATATCAAATGAAAAGGCTTATTATTTTTAGGTTATGCTGAGAATAATCATCAACATCACAAGTCCACCTCTGAACGTAGGGTCCCAAGGAATTCACAAAACACGTTCCTAAGCCACCTGCATTTATCAACTTCCTCCATGACTTTTGGTTAAGAAAAGTTCTCGAGTAGTAGCCTCGTACCGGTAGACGAAGTTTAGGGCGGTCCCCACTATATGTTAATACATTTTACACATTAGTTATTATTGTAATATTTAAAAAAAAAATAAACTAAGTCGAAAAGTTTAAACTTTTCATTTAAGCAGTCTACCCACATTGCCCGTCGAGACTAAAATTAAGTGATTAACATTTAGGCGAATGTATCTTTGAAATTGGATTGAATATTTTCTAAAATTCTTCCTGCTTTTGTGCTCGATCGATTGCGGGAGCGAGGTAAAGTTTTCATACCAATACACCGTAATCTTAACTTGAGTTGCTTGCTAATGGTTTTTGAGAAATATTTTACTGATATTCCGATCTTGACCACTAAGTCACTAAATTCTTCTCCTGCCGTCGCCGAATCATTACTTAAACATAATGTAAATGTGTGTACAAAGAATTTTACATTTCATAAAGTGACATCAAAAGATATTGTAAAATATTTTAAAACTATTGATGTTAAGAAAACTGCGGATCTGTGGGGGATTTCCGTTAAAGTTATTGCGTCTATAATAGATACAATCGCGCCTCATTTAGCTATTATTTTTAATACTAGTATCGAATCTGGTGTGTTTCCTGATTTAATGAAGCATAGTAAAGTAATACCTTTATTTAAATCTGGTAGTACATTAGACCCCGCCAATTTTAGACCTATTTCTGTACTACCAACACTTAGTAAGATTTTTGAAAAAATTGTTCTTGATCAAATGTTAAATTTTTTTAATATAAATAATTTACTTCATAAAAATCAATTTGGTTTCACAAGGGGTCGCTCGACAACTGATGCCGGTGTTGAGCTGATTAAATATATCTTTAATGCATGGGAGAATTCACAGGATGCTTTGGGTATATTTTGTGACCTATCCAAGGCCTTCGATTGTGTTCACCATGAAACATTAATCAGGAAACTTCAACACTACGGTGTAAGAAGTGATGCCCTTAAATTAATTATTTCATATTTAAGTAAGAGAACGCAAAAAGTTGTCATTAACAATATGAGCTCTTCCGGATCGATGGTACAAATGGGCGTGCCTCAAGGCTCAATTCTCGGCCCCTTTCTGTTTCTTGTATACATTAATGACTTACCTTACATAGTAGGGGATAGCCATGATATAGTATTATTTGCAGATGACACTTCTTTAATTTTCAAATTAAGTCGACAGTTACTAAAATATGACGAAGTAAATAATGCTATATCTAAATTAGTAAATTGGTTCGATGTTAATAATTTGCATTTAAATGGCACTAAAACAAAATGTATGAAATTCGTGACTCCAAATGTCAAACAATTAAATACTAATGTAATTTTAAATGGGGAGAAACTGAGTCTTGTAGATACCACCATTTTTCTTGGAATCACACTAGACGCGAAGCTTCAATGGAGCCCCCATATATCAAAACTAGCAAGCAGACTTAGTTCTGCAGCATATGCTGTAAAAAAGATTAGAAGTCTAACCAGTGTTGAAACAGCTAGACTAGTTTACTTCAGCTACTTCCATAGCATAATGTCGTATGGTATTTTGCTATGGGGACACGCAGCTGACACAGAAATTATATTTGTTTTGCAGAAGAGGGCCATAAGAGCAATTTATGATTTAAAGCCTAAAGAGTCGCTGCGACAAAAATTTAAGGAAATTAATATATTAACTTTGGCCTCTCAATACATTTATGAAAATTTAATGTACGTACACAAAAATAAAAGTAGTTTTATAAAAATAAGTGATATTCATTCTGTAAATACTAGGAACAGACACAAGCTAGTAGTACCAGTTACTCGACTCCATCGAGTCAGTAATTCATTCTTGGGGCGATGTATACGCTTTTACAACAAAATTCCAGAAAATATACAAAGTTTGGCCTGTTCAAAGTTCAAAAACTTTATTAAACTAAGTTTGTATAAAAAGGGTTATTATAATATTAAGGAATTTATGGATGATAATAACCCCTGGAAATGAGGTGATCGCTACCAAGCTATTTCTAATTTGTTGTGTTGTTAATTTGTGTAACATCATGATTGTAAGCTGTTATTTAAAAAAAAAAAGTCCCGCTGGGTTTCTTGCTGGTTCTTCCCAGGACAGAGGTTTTTTCCGAACCAGTGGTAATCAAACAAAAGAATGACTTTCAATAAGTATTATTTATAATCTATATTGAATAAAAAAGTTTCTGTTTCTGTTTCTGTTTCTGAGCTATAATTTCGCCTTCAATAGTTTTCTCCAAAAAAAAAAAAAACCAAATAATATCACACACATGCTGGCCATTAACGTTCTATCAACCGCTTTTGTGATATGATTCATTCGTACAGCGCATTCTGTCAGTCGTATTAATGTTCACACACAGATCACCTTATGACAACTAGATACTATGGCAAATCTCTCCTCGATAAAAAAAGCGTTGTGTCTTGCATGCTTAAAAAAAGAGTTGTTCGATTCTCGTCAGTATTGTAACACTGCTACTTTCCTTTGATTATGCTGTGATAATAGGATCGACGTATTTGTGCTGCAGCCATAATACTCATAATAATACACTCCGCTTATCGGACTGATTCTACTAGTGATATGGTCATATGTTGTATGTCGGGTCGAGTTATATATCGTAAAGTCGGGTAATAATCATCAATGATTCGAATAAATGTCATCGAATCATTAATTACTGTTTTATATACCTGACATTTTTATTAGCTAATTATTATCTCGAAATTTACATCATCCGAAACAAAATATCTGCAATATCGCAAACCGCAGAGGATTTTTTCCCGACTATTTCGCCAATTTCAGTAAGGGGAGAAAACATTATAACACGTACTAAGTAAGGTTTTTGTGCCTTCAACTATTATTTTTCATTAAAAGAGACAAATCTATTGTTGACTTACAACAATATTATTCTTAATAAAATGTGTAAAGGATATAATATACATGTGCGTAATTATTACGGCCTCTAGCATCTTTGTTTGTGTAGTAAATCTACTAGTATGTGTGTAATCTTTTCAAAAGATTAAATTCACATTTCTCTTAAATTTTCCAGATTTTTTTTCGGTATTCAATCAGTTGTTACGATCGATTTTCATCGATATTATGGTGCATGTTGGTGAGGAAATTCTTTTGGCGAATTCTGCACGTTTGTGAGTTAAAAATTTCCAGGACATGATGTCCGCCATAGCTCAAGGGTCATAGAAGCAATAAGTCATTGCCGCATAATCCAAATGGCATGAGATAGATTAAAAAAATATTTTTTCTTGTCTCTCTATAATAAACTTGTAAATGTGTATGTCTATAGGCCTAATTAATCTGGTCTTTGAATTCTAAATCAGATTGAATCTCATACAATATTCAATTAAGATTAATAATAGGATAGCAGCGAATTGATCTGTAGGTAGTACCTGTATGCGTAAATCATGTTGTGCCACGTCGAAATGATAAATTAACGAACGTGGAACATCATTAATTTGCGTTTGTATTTAAATGGCTTTCAAGGAATAATTGCAAATGTTCGTAATTTGTTTTGCTTTTTATATATAATACCATTTTCAATGGAAGCATTTTCTATCTTTGGACTTAGTGGTGACAACGTCCCTGCAGTTTTATATTAATCAAGAATATTTTATGTTAGTTTTACTGGACTGCATTCAATTTCCATCGGGTAGACTGCGTACTTATTTGTCACATTTTTAAAGAATTAGGGTCACAAGCGAGCATACAGTCCACGTGATGGTAAGTGATGCTGCGGCCCATAGAAATCTACATCTATCCTAAATTAAAAATCAAAATGCAGATGAGTTTTCACTTTTGAGGACTAAGATGGAATGCCTCGTTACCAGTACAAAGGGACTCCGGTTCTCTACACCCACCATGCACAACAGCATTATTCTATTGTTTCACGCTGGTATTCTATGAGAGCGTGTTCCTACCCCGGTCGAGCCGACCCAGTCGTATCACAGTCTTATTGTAGTTGCAGCGTGGCTCTACAACGTAAAATATAAAATTAGTGTTTATAATAAAATTGTATTTATATTATTACCACTAGGTATTTCTTCTTTCTTTGAAACATTTTACGTGTAAATAAATCACACATGGATATACATCCAGATCCGGAACAAGAATTTGTAGGCAATAAAAACACGTCTCATGTGTAAGATTTGTATCCGTAATCGTCGATATTGCTCAGCAGTCAATTTTGTTATATTTTCTACCGACTTCAACCAGGAGGAGGTACTAAATTCGACTCTATGTTTTTTTTTGTTTGTTACCTCATAACTTTTTTTTGGGTAAACGGATTTTAATGATTCTTTTTTATTTGAAAGCTGATGTTTCACATGTGGTTCTATATAAATTTGATCAAGGTTTAACAAATATTTATGGAGTTATTCTTAATAATTTATATTGAAGTCTGTTCTACAAAATTTTAATTTTTAAATTATTTAACTGTTAAAAATGAGTTTTAGAAGAAAGAAATTTAGTTAATCTATTTATAATATAGAACCGCGGTAGCCATGTTGGTGAGTAAGAAGTAAGACTCGGTTTCCCCACTTGCTATTAACGTTATAGGAAACTAAAAAAAAACTTAAATTGTTTATGGAACAAAAAATTACATGCATACTCGTACACAAATGTCACATTACTTTTAAGTCAAAATCATGTCACCGTCAAGTCACAGTCACGTCCTATTCACCGATCAGTCACGTCAAAAAATAACGTCACTGATAAGTCATGTTATAAAATAAAGTCACCGATCAGAGTTAACGTGTCGTAACCCTGGAACTGGGCAATAACAATCAGTCAGGTAACAGTGGGAAAATGAGGAATGCTTGCGCTGCAGAAAGGATCACCGTGGAAACAATGGAACTGTCTCATAATCTGACACCATCCATACTTAACTTAACTTCTTTGTAACTTTACATTTTATCGATCGCCGCCATATCGTAACTTCAGTCACGTCAAAAATATCGTATAGTAGGAAGTCAACCTCTCACATCACACTTCACTACCGCCTTGTTGGACATGACGTGATGTATTTACTATTATATTAAATCCATGAAATACTTACGTCCCAACGTTAGAACAAGTCCATTACGTTCGACAATAGTTGGTGGAACAATACAGCTATGATGAGCAAAATTGTAATTGGCATGGGACCTATTATTTATAATAAATTTCCAAGTAGTCTTGAGATTTTAAATTAACTGACATTTAAAAATGAAGTCAAATTATTTTAGACAGATAAATTTTATTATACAATTAACGACTGCGTATTTTAATGACAATTTAATTGCTTAAAATGAAATTAGATAGTTTTTTTAATGTTGTACGTCTAATACGGACTGGACATAGTATATTATCTGGACATAGTGTATGTAATAGTAGAGGAGCCCAAGAGGTTATAACAAATACAAAAAAGCTTATAAGGTATGTCCTCTCACTGGTGGGTGGAGCCTGTACAGTTTTTCAAAAATGTAAAAAAAAAAACGGTCAAAAAGAAATACTGGGGCGCTTCAGATATTGAAAGTGTATGCGCCCCACGTGTTTCTGATAACGGAGAAATATTAATCTGCCGGTTTTGCATGGTGGGGGTGGCCGTACGAAAGGGTAGAAAATAGGAAAAAAAAATTATTCGAGCGCGTGAGATATTGAGAAGGGATGTTAAATGAACCCTCAAGTAGCTCCTATTCAAAAACTGAGGATTTGGAGGCGACCAAAAGTCGTGCCCGATTTTTAAAAATGCAAAAAAATCGTGACATTGAAATACTCGAGTGCGTCAGATTATTATACAGACGCGAAGGAATTACCTTAATCTGACGGTTGAATTTTTTTTATTGATATCAGTTTAAATTATTGAATGTAATATAATATGTACAATAATATATATATATATATATATATATATATATATATATATATATATATATTATTGTACATATTATATATATATATATATATATATATATATATATATATATATATATATATATATCGATTTTTATTTGTAATTTGATCGTCTGCCTTAGATGCTCGACCCTATATAAAGAGCTCAGGTATGGTGGGAGTACTCAACAGGGTGTAAGATTTCCCCTCTTGTGAAATTATGCCACGCTGGAATAAATCTCAAAATCCCCGCTTCGGCTACCATACTATAATAAGTAATAAGATCTTTTATAACCTATGTTCCACAAAAAAGGTTTTTGATTTGATCTCTTTGGGTTTCTTTTTGACGGATAGAGTTTTTCTGAACCAGTAGTTTAACTCAGAAAAGAACAGGAGTGGAGAAGCGTTACTTTCTGATCCCAAACTGTCTGTCATTTTTTTGCGGGGGGAAATCTGCGCCACGCACACTTTCTCAGACTCCCACACAAAAATAATCGTCACTACGAAACTCACACATAATATTTAAAATAATACAATAACAATTTCACACACACATAAATATATTATGTATGATAACAGTGTAATGAAGAGACGCAACTACATTGAGCATATGCATACAGCCATGGATGTAACAACTGTCGATGCGCATTATCGATGAAAAGGTGGATAGTATAATAAAGATAGGATTTTATTTATTACTACTATACTTATCTATCAATTAACTAATAAATTTAATGTTTATAAAATAGAATATTTTTGTATATATATGTATATATATATATATATATATATATATATATATATATATATATATATATATCGATTTTTATTTGAAATCTGATCGTCTGCCTTACATGCTCGACCCCATATAAAGAGCTCAGGTATGGTGGGAGTACTCAACAGGGTGCAATTATTAATGCAAATAATTATATGCACTAGGTATAGCTGTATAGACCATATTTGCCATTTGCCATTTTCATCGATAACTATTTACAAACCGGTACCTATATCAAAACTATCGCTCAGTGACAGCAACAACACGGGTACAGAATCAGATCAGTCGCAGGACCGAACCGCATATTGTATGAGAGCGAGTGTCC